GCGGCGAAAGTAACCCTCTCTACTTAAGTAGTTGCAATTGGATAAACCGAGAACAGATAGGTGTTTCTTGTATACAATATTTGCTTTAACAGAATGGAAATTTGTTCAATGCATTGGGCATCATTTTTTATGTGTTTCACGTAGTCACCAAATTCTGAACATGGGTCAGTCGGTCGGGAAAAAATTAAGAAAGACAAAATTATCTGAATAATGTTCTTGATTCTCATTTATTGTAATTCTTATTACAATTTCTCGCGTTCTTTGGACTTGTGGCAGCGACTGATAAAGAGATAAACAGTTAATGTGACAAGGCGGTACGTTTTAGGTTCGAGTCGACGGTGTTGGAATGAAAAAAATGTGTTTTGGGGAGGTCGGCAACAAAATTAGAAGGGAGGGTCGGGCGATGAGAAACACAGAAAATAAAAATGCTGCCCATTACAAATTGAGACTGTAAACGCGATGTGGTGTTGATGCGCGGCTCAAGATCAATCTGATGCGCACGTAAAATCTCGCAAAACGTATGTATTATGACAATATGCCGAACTGCCAATCTGTATCATCTTGTTGGTTTCTTGTTTTACCCAGTACTCAGCAATATTCCAGCTATATGGCGGCGGTAATAATCGAGTCTGGACCAGACAATCCAGTGATCAACAGCATGAGCATGATCGGCTGATGACCAATTCTAACCCGGATCGTCAAGGTCCCGTTTGGTGGGTCCGTAAAAACCACAAGAATTGTCACAAGATGCCAGACTTCCATTTGGCATCATGTTGAATGGGAAGTGTGTTATGTTTCACTCAAAATAAGCATCACTTGCTAAAATAGGTGTAAAAACCATTTAACTGAAACCATTGAAATGTACCGACGGTTATATAGTTGCAACTCTTGTAATAGAATCATCGCACAAAATAAACTGCTTTTTTATTGTTGCGTTCTTTCATATGGCGAGTAATGTCAACAACAATCGATTGGAACAGAATCTCGGTTTCCAATACGGAACATGTTATGTATTCAAAGCTTTCGTGATTAAGTTTGTGTAATATACTATGACTGTATGTGCTCAAGCAATGTTAAAACGTGACAATTGTTAAACTGGATCCCACAACAGAAGTAGCGTGTTCATTAATAGGAAGATGACGTGTATCACACTGCTGTCATCTAGGAAACACTAAAGACGATAAGGAGTGGATTGCGGCATCATTTTAGTGGGAAAATAATGCATGACGTTCACGACCGCACCATCGCGAACTTTACACTGATAGAACTGTTGGAACAGAAGACGTCAATAACGAGTGTGCAATTCGTGGGTAGCCGCGAAGGCAGCACAACGTCTCCTCATGGACAGGAGAACATGTCGCAACACCCTTTCCAGAAGTCGCCATTGCTCAACGAGTGCTTGCCCACGTTCTCGCAAGGTCTGCATGCGGTAGTTGGTTCATCTGCTGTCGAATTCATATTTCAAGCTCATCCCGAATGTGTTCGATCGGGTTCAAGTCTGAGGAACAAAAAGACCATTTTATGACATCAACACCACCGTTGCGTTTCAAGAATCTGCGTTATAATTGCAGAATGGTGCGTAGCGTGGCCATGCTGAAATGTCAGTCCAGGTCCACTAGGTGCATCAATAAGGTCCCCATACTGTATGGTAATAAGATTCCCTGGACTACACAATTGAGATCGACAGTCTGCACAAACGTAAATGCTCCCCTAAACCATTACGCTTTCCCCTCCAAATCGGGGGCGGTGGGGTAGCCTAGTGGTTAAAGCGTTGGCTCGTCACGCCGAAGACCCGGGTTCGAATCCCACATGGGTACAATGTGTGAAGCCCATTTCTGGTGTCCCCCGCCGTGATGTTGCTGGAATATTGCTAAAAGCGGCGTAAAACCAAACTCAGTCAGTCAGTCAGTCCCCTCCAAATCGGTCAACCTCACAAACTAAACACTGTGTGTCACCGTCACTCCTCTAAGACCACATCCAGATCGGCAAAGAGTAGATTGAAGTGTGACTCGTCATTGAATACATTCCTGTTTCACTCCCTCTGGCTCAATCCGACATTTCTACAGACCCATCGTAAACGCGATGACACTGCGTCAAGATAGGTCTCCTGATTGGTCGACTAACTCGGATACAGCCAGCCCGCAGTATATTCCCAAGGGTCCGTATACTGACCCTCTACCTCCAAACAATGTTCTGCTAGTGGAGGCTGCTGCCAGAAATCTGATGCGGAGACTACCTAGGCTGTTTTTTGTACGTCATCTTAGTGCAACGTCACACTCGGCTCCCTAGGCCTCGGACCATCTGTCACGGGGCGTATATCTACTCTCTGTAATACCTCTATCGGTGATGAACACCGTACGATTTTAGAACATCCCAATTTTGTTGATTCTAAAAGCAATTTATTAAACCTTACTTTTACAAAAGACCAAACTCTGTTAAGTTAGGTCAATAGTTTCAAATTGAAAAAGTTGGTCAACTACGAAAACTTTGTACGTTTTGTAACACTGTCATGCCCAGGTACAAGTCACTGGGAAAGTGAATTATAAAGTCACTTTTTTCAGTAAAATTTATGTGAAAATTTAGATGTAAGTCCTCTGTGTAAAAGAAAGTACTATATACTGCTATTTATTATGTGTATGTTATATGTCTTATATTCAGACTAACAGCCCTGTCACTAGTCTGTCGTACAGACCCTGAAGCAAATATATCCAAGAAAGCCCACACAAGTCTAGAAAATGTGGCAAGTCTAGATTTCCTCAGCTTCGTCTCAGGGCTCCTTTTCATTATATTTTTTTTTTCACTATGAACTTTTTTCAGTAAAATATGTTCATTTCAGAGACTAGTTGTTAGTCTACCCTGTCACCAACATGTATATAATCATTGTGATCTTCATATGCCGTTGTCTTACGGCGTGAAAAGCAATAAAGTTCTGTTCTGTTCTGTTTCACACGGGTCCTCAGACTGCGTATTGTCTGACGACTTCTGCACAGGGCTCGTGTAGTTGCTGCAGCGGATTGTCTATATTACGCCTACCCATGGCACGCTCACGTTGATTTGTGAGTCGTGGCACGCTCGCTTTTTTTAGTTAACTTTGCAATTTCGATGCCTTTTCCTGTTTAGCCATGTGCTTACATTCCAAAGCATTTGCGATCGCTAAGGTGATCACGAGACTCACTGCACGTGACTGTTGTGTCTCAGTGGATGAGTGAGTTTAGTTTTACGCCGCACTCAGCAATAGTCCAGCTATATGGCGGTGTTCTGTTTCATGCTTCAAGACCACAAGCCAAGTTCCAAACAGCCTACGTGTCATTGCCGTGTGTATAGCACAACAATAAACTAAAACCCCTACCACTCTCACAATTATTATCAATAATGTTGTATGTAAAGCCTAACCTTGTCTGTCATACAGACCCTGCAACAAATATACCCAATTCAGCCCATGCAAGTCTAGAATGTGTGGCCAGTGTACGAAGAATGTCTCTGGGCTCCTTTTTATTTTATTTATAATTTTAATTTAAAAACTTTTATTTTCTGTAAAATATGTTAATTTCAGAGACTAGCTGCTAGTCTAGGCCTAGCCTGTAACACTATAAAGAGGATATAAATAGTATAGTTGCATTACTCATATTTATGAAAGTATATATCTTTTTCAGACATTATTATATTTCAACCACATGATTGGCATTCTATTTGCAGTGCATGCGTAGTCTGTTGTATATCTGAGACAAATCCAGTTTGTCTAGCTAAAGAAAGAAAATATATTTCATGTAACTTGATGCCTGCCTGTGTTATTCGTAATTGTATTACGCTTAATATTATAAATTGATATTAAGTATTTTACAATTTGGTGGGGGCGGTGGGGTAACCTAGCTAGTGGTTAAAACGTTCGCTCGTCACGCTGAAGGTCCGGGTTTGATTCCCCACATGGGTACAATGTTTGAAGCCCACTCAATTTGGTGAGTCCTTTTTGTCTACAGCGTCCGTGGCTGTTTTGACCTAAGGCCGTTTTGACCTGTTTCCGTCTAATATTCCCTTTCCAGATATTTATCTTAATGTCGTAGTTACGGTCAACTTTCTGACAATGTCATGTTTATCATTGTTTCAATAAAAATATAACCGAATATCTAACAACATGACAGTAATTATAAGGAGTAGATACCAATTGTGACATATTATAAACAATCGTTTATATACACGCACAATCTATTCGCATACCCCTAAACCCGTTTGCAATTACCCTTAGTAAGTGAGTGAGTTTTGGCAATATTCCAGCAATATCACGACAGGGAACACCAGAAATGGGCTTCACACATTGTACCATTGTGGGAAATCGAACCCGGATCTTCAGAGTGACGAGCAAACGCTTTAACAACTAGGCTACCCACATCGCCCCGCAATTTCCCTTAAGTCCTACAGATATGGCAGACGATGGTGACATGCTGCCACTGAATACGAGTCAAATATGTCATGGTATACTGATGTTAGTGATGTATGTACTAGATGTACTATTGTGATGTTGATGACTAGATTATGGGTACTAGCTGTTCATATTACTTAGCATTCCTTTCATATGTTTCAGGGTGTGAAATCTGAGATCTCCCTGAGACTGACTGACTGACTGACTGACTGACTGATTGATTGATTGATTGATTGATTGATTGATTGATTGATTGATTGATTGGTTGATTGGTTGATTGATTGATTGATTGATTGGTCCTTTCATTCATTCAGATCCGGGTTACAATTTGTCTTCAGCAACCCATGCCTGTCGTAAGAGGCGACTAACGGGATCGGGTGGCCAGGCTCACTGACTTGGTTGACACATGGCATCGCATCCCATATGCGTAGGTCGATGCTCATGCTGTTGATCACTAGATTGTCTGGTCCAGACTCGATTATTTACAGACCGCCGCCATGTATCTAGAATATTGCGTTAAACAACAAACAAGAAACAAACATCATTCATTGTCTAAAAAGGGGAACTATATTTCCCGGACTTGATGTCAGTCTCCCGTGGAGTGTGTTTGTCCTCTCCTTTCACATTAACAGCCCTGCACACTCTAGGGACATGGACTACGTGTTGTAGATCGGGGAAGCGCCACGTATACCCACCCAGACCATTTACAGGTACTTGGATACCCCGCGTACCGTACACCCTGACATTCCGCTCCTGTTTGTCAAGGAAGCTGGATGTAAAAGTGACGTACGCTGTCAGCCCAACCTCCGTGTCTGACACACATTTGCGAAAACGAAGACGGAATTCCTTCTAAAAATAGCTCAGTGGATAATCAACGATTTTCCACCATGTCTGAATTATTACGAATGTTATCGTAGACACGGCGTTGATATGACAAAGCAATATATCCATTAAGTTATTTACGATAGTTTTATTAGCAACGGCTTACGTAACACAGGATATCATGTACATAATGCGCTCTGTAACTGTTTTGCGGAAGTAGTAAAGGGGAGGCTACTGTCATCGGGCGGAATGTAACCGTCGAGCGCCTTCCTTTCAAGCGTGGCGCTGTTACAGATTCAGTTTTGATATTTCTCTCTGTGTGTGAGGTTTGCATACCAGTTGAGAGAAGGAAGACATTTCATACACAAGTAAGTAGCTTTCAGCATATAAGAACCGCCGTCTCAGCTGTAAATATTAATGATGACGGAATTAGTAGTAGTTTGAAGGAGTAGTTATCAACAGTCACGTGACTACAGTTTAACCTTTGACCTAATATCTGCAGTATTGATAAACAGTGATTTCTACAGATGTGTTTGTCCAGCATTACGCTGTTACTGGTTCCTTTATCACTTCTATAACGTGTTATCTATGATAACATTGTCTCTTAGATCGTTACCGTTTGCCCATGTAGGGTTTTGACATGGTTTAACCAGTTAAAGATAACACTACGAATACGTTTGATATGGTACGAAAGTCAGCACTAATGAAGTAGTAGCTAGTAGTGGTTGTGGTGGTAGTGGTAGTGGTAGCAGCAGTGGTGGTAGTAGTACTTGTGGCGGCTGCGGTGAAAGTAGTAGTGTAGTAGTAGTAGTAATAGTAGTAGTAGTAGTAGTAGTAGTAGTAGTAGTAGTAGTAGTAGTAGTAGTAGTAGTAGTAGTAGTAGTGAAGTAGATGAAGTAGTAGTAGTAGTAGTAGTAGTAGCAGCAGTGTGCGAAAAAGGCAGTGGCCCGATAGCCCGTGGATAGTAAAAATCCAGTCGGGTCAGTAAATATCCACAGTCACTGGCCCGCGTGGCTAGTGTATTTTCATGGGGTCATTTTGTAAATATATCACTCTCTCCGACTTCTTGAAACCACAGCAACTAACTGCGCAGACTTAACTTCATATATGATCAATACGGTATGTAAACTACAAAAGCATCACTGCCTCCAAACTCACACAATGAACAGCTGTGTCAGCTGTGTATATCAAAATCAAAACCACGATAATACATCAGGAAGTTGTATCGTCACAGCCTCAGAGGCATGCAACAGACATATGTTGTTTGTGTGGAGATACTTCCTCTTTGTGAAGTAGTTCACGACAACTTCTGGTCAATATGTTACTACTCGATGTTGATTTCCATCTCCGATGTCAGGAGTTCAGATTTCAGTTTTTTAGGTTGTTGATAACACTATTTATCTCCTGAGGCAACTCACGTCCGTCGGCGAAGTTGTCAAGTCGTAAGTCTCCAGCCTCAATTGTCCTTACCCTGACTACTCTCGTTAAGGTGCGTGTCACCTGCTACTAGGTTACTGCCCGAGGTCGCTGTATTGCTGCTACGCAATATCAACATTCACATTAAGAGAGGCACTTGACTCAGGCGAAAGTCTGTGCATGTTAACCTAAATGTTATTATGCATATACTCACAGAGATATATCATCCAAATATCTTTTGATAATTTCGATAAAGTTCATTTTTGATCTATTTAACATCAAAGACACTTGGGTGAGATTCTATTTCTCACCCGAAAAAATGCTCTAACAGTAATAACCCTTGAGTGTGAAAGTTGGACACCTTTGGTGCTGTCATGTTATTTGATTGAGTGAGTTTAGTTTTACGAAGCTTTTAGCAATATTCCAACAATATCACGACGGGGGACACCAGAAATGGGCTTCACACATTGTACCCATGTTGGGAATCGAACCCTGGTCTTCGGCGTGACGAGCGAACGCTTCAACCACTAGGCTACCCCGCCGCCCCTGATTGTGAGGTCATGTTAACGGATGACATCACAATAGTCTGCAAAGCTCTATGACGCATGCTATTGATCCAGCTCATGGAATATCTCCTGTTGGAACCAATTTTTAAAAATAATTACAAAGAAACAATCTTTTAAGACGGGGCCCACTTTACAGGTAACATTTTGGAGTTGTACACTGGAGTGCGAGAACAGGGTTAACCACCTCATGTAAAATCGGATTAGCTCAAAGATCAATGCTACAGACTATGAACAAATCTGTAAGACGAGAGCCAGTGCGTTGTATGAGTGTATATACATTATAATTGTTCTTTGACCTCGTGACCTCATGACCCTGGGGGCATACAGTTTTATGTTTCAGTGAAGTGTAACGTATATGTTCCTTGGGCATATCTGATTTCTTAATCTCGATATAGATTTCACACATGTAGGCTTCTAAGTTGAATATATAATGGTTATTTCAGTTACCACGCAATAGTGTTTGCGGAGCCCGTTCGAGTGTCAAGTGATCTGTCAAACCATGTCACTGTAAGATGAATTAATAATTTTCATTTTATTGCGTCAACTAACTTTCATGCTGTGATGCTAATACACATGTATCTTATTGACTGCGTAAGTATAAACTAGTTCAAGTAATTTGACTTTGAGCATCCTCGTCTGTTCTACAAAACATGGGGCGATGGGGTAGCGTAGTGGTTAAGGCGTTCGCTCGTCACGCCGAAGACCCGGGCTCGATTCCCCACATTGGTACAATGTGTTAAGCCCATTTCTGGTGTGCCCCGCCGTGATATTGCTGGAATATTGCTAAAAGTGGCGTAAACCTAAACTCACTCACTCACTACAAAACATTGGGGCGGTGGGGTAGCGTAGAAGGTTAAAGCGTTTGCTCGTTACGCCGCAGACCCGGTTCGATTCCCAACATGGGTACAATGTGTGAAGCTTACTTCTGGCGTCCTCCGTTGCGATATTGCTGGAATATTGCTAAAAGCGGCGTACTCACTCACTCTGCAAAAATGTCACCTATTTCTCTGCACACTAATCTATAAAAATGTTGATATCCACCTTATCAATATTATTCTTTATACATATGCGGTTTTGATGCATTTTCAATATGTGTTTAATTGTTTGTTTGTTTGTTTGCTTGTTTACACGCGATACATTTCTTGTTTATTGTATTCAGTGTCCCAGGACGACCTTCACCTCGTTTCTCGGTCTGAATGGCGCGCTCGTGAGTCACGTGAAATACACCACATGGACAAACCAGTCAGCCTCGTCTTCATCCATCACACAAGCATGAAGTCATGCACAACCGTGGAAGAAGGCTGTGAAGAAATGCGAGTTATCCAGAACTTCCATATGGATGATCGAGGTAGCGTTGTACTAGTTTCCTAACGTCATGATTGGCGAGGAGACACAGTTTAATGTTTTCCGCTTAAAATACAACTTTGAAAGTTTTAATTTAATTAACATTGCAACAGTACATCAGTAAGAAAGTAACATGGAAGATTCCATAAGATCAGGAAAAACCCAAATGTCATGATTACCAGATTTAAAAATATCAACTTATGACCAATTTATAGAAAATGAGAAAAGTGTTGGACTTACAACACATCCTTGATTTAACAGAAACAGGGACAATCAAAGAAGTCATCACAACGGCACATGAGTTCTGATTTGAATACATCGATCTTATGGCAGCGTACATTTTTCCCATTCAAACCAGAAGGAAAAAGGCTAGTGTCAAATAATCGATTGAAACTTTTAACCAGAAAGACCAGGATGTCGGGTAATGAGTTTTTAAACATTTCTGATATAACACAATCAACGCCTGCAGATTTACATACCTTAAGACGAGAGACAGCATCGAATATTTGACTTCCGTAATAGGTGATTCTAATAGAAGCAAATTAACATCATTAGGCCTTTTACTTGCAAAATCATTATCCCAATCTAAAATCTCATTGTCATCATCATAGGCAACATCGTTATACATAGTCGCCCATGATAAATATAACATTCAGTTATAACCAATGAAAGCGAAGAGAGTATTTGCTCCATGACATCTGTAAGGACTTTCGGTACAGTAAATTGACGTTGTCTCAATAACATATCGCACTAAACAATACATATAATAACGTATAGTACCTAGACATTGAATTGAATACCCAAAATTCGGGTTTGAGATTGCGCACCTTGTCTGTCTCACAGACATAATATTTTCCCTACCACCTTGCCCTCTGCAATGGGCAGTCTAGAAGCTGCAATGGGCAATCAAGAAGCGAGATTAGATTTCCTCAGGTTCAGGAATCTCTCATCTCACTAGGGCTCCTTTTCAATTTAAATGGGTTTATTTATTACTATCAAAAGTATATATTCAGAGACTGAGCGTTAGTCAACGCCATCTGCCAGGCATAAGACGTTTGAGCCATGTCATAGCAAGTTGCATATGTAGTGCAAGAGGTGGGTAAATATCCCTGTAATCAGTCATAATCCGTGACATTGTGCCCCGCCAGAAACAAGGACATAATGGATAAGACCCTTCAGTGTAAGGATTGGCGGTTTTTAAGTCCGATTATCAGATTTGCCCCGATATATGAATTCACTGTTTATCTTGTATTACAGGATGGGACGATATCGGGTACAACTTTCTGGTGTCGGAAGCAGGCCATGTTTTCATTGGTCGAGACTGGACAAGGATCGGGGCACACACCTATGGGTTTAACCGTGTTGCCATAGCTATATCCGTGATGGGAAATTTCACCGAGCGACCCCCGAATAAACTCACCATTCAGGTTGTGAAAAACGTCATCGATAGTGGTGTAGCTCAGGGGAAGATAACTCCCGACTACAAAGTGTATGGGCACCGTGATGTGCGGGAGACGGAGTGCCCGGGGGATAAATTGTACGAGATTATCAAAACCTGGGACCACGCTGGACATGTGCCCCCTGAAAGACCCGCAGTATAGTGTCTTGGTTATACGTTGTACACATCTACTTAATTCTTTCACAATTCAATAGGTGCTCTATTTTTATATAATGTATATTTTTAATCAATATATATGGAGGTTTATGTTAATTTCAATTTAATAGGCAATGCTCTATTTTTATATAATGTATATTTTTAATCAATATATATGGAGGTTTATGTTAATTTCACAAAAAGAGTCTTTCATCTCGTGGCATCGTGGATCAGACACAATGGATGTGCGTGTGCGTATTTACATGTGTGTGTGTTTTCAAATTGTGTGTGTGAGAGGGTGTGTGTGTTTCAAAATGTTGTTATTTCAAATTCAAAGAATAGAAAACTTTATGTATAAATACACTTTAAGTTTGGAAGTTTTAGATGGTGACAACACTTTACATTGAAACACATTACGCATCTCCCTAATTGTTGGTCAGATGATAAGCAGTACCTTGTTCTAACTTGTGTTATGCGTTCTATGTTAAACGTACAGAGACTTTGATAATAAAAAAGAAATTTCCAGTCAACAAGAAAGCCTGAAACAAGATGCGTCAATTTTATGTCATGTGTTTCCTTTTAAATCCAAATGAAGACGAAACCAGAAGACGGAACAATCGACACAGCAGTCACTGTCAGGGCGAACATCTTGTTATATTTTGCGAATAAAAGCAATAAAAGCCTTTCTGTGTCCATGAGAAATCTCTGTTAAAGACACGACCGTACAGTTCCGTACTATATTAATAGCCTGTGTTTATGAATCACTATCAAATAGTGATGGTACGAGGTGTTCATGTCCCACCGAACATCCGTCACAAACACATGCCAAGGTAAGTCAATTCTGAAAAAGAATGAAAACGTATTGTAAAAATACTGTTTGAAGGCTTTGATGTAAGCGACATGACTGTTTCATTCAATATTTGTGTATTTAGCCAAGATTGTGAGGATTAGTTTTACGCCGCTTTTAGCACTATTCCAGCAATATCATGGCGGGGGATACCACAAATGGGCTTCACACATTGTACCCATGTGGGGGAGACGAACCCGGATCTTCAGCGTGACGAGCAAAGCCTTTAACCACTAGGCTACCCCACCGTCCCCGCTATGATTGTTCTCTGTGGTAAAATAAATCACACATAGGTACAATTAAGTATACACGAGGGACATGGGACACACAATCATCGGTTTTATCAGAGGTGAATTATTTTGATTTGGTACCAAGCTGCAGTCCACTGTAAAATCAAATTCTCATCAATAATGACAGACTACTGATTGACGAATGATGAATAAATATGCTTTTACACAAGTGTAACGTACCACGTCCAACTACAAACCAGTCAACCCAGCGCACCATGACCCTGACATCCGTTGCATAATTTATGCAGGTGAGCATAAAAAGATCTTGTGTATGTTGATATATATATATCACGGCCAAGTCGTTCAGCTGTCAAGAACCAGTGATAAATGTGATTGAGTAGGTTCTTCAGACTCGAGCTCTCAAATCTCCCTGCACCTCTGTACTTTGTACTAGACTAACATGTCAAACGTTTGTGTAGATAACAGTATTCTTAAATATATTATATAAAACCCCAACTAAAGTTACAGATATGTTCTGCGGGACGTGATATACACCGATACATAGTCTGTCGTGATACATAGTGATGAAGACAGTTGTCACTTGGACGGTTCATTGTTTATAGTGAGTGAGTGAGTTGGGTTTTACGCCGCTTTTAGCAATATTCCAGCAATATCACGGCGGGGGACACCAGAAATGGGCGTCAAACATTGTACCCATGTGGGGAATCATTGTTTATAACACTAAAGACGATAACCGCTTGTATCGACAAGTTGGCCCGTAACGATGCATCGAACTATCGATGGATTCCAATTGTTGAGTTTCCGATAGCAATTAATCGATGGTAGAAACGAAAAACTATCGATGCATCGATAGTATGTGTGACTATCGATAGTTTAGTAATTGACTTCCGTTGATAAATGCGCAGCGCAAAATACAGGATGTTTATGTTTATGAGTTTATGTGTTAACTGTTTACTTGATCTGGGTTTCAAGTTTCTGAAACTGAGACTACTTCAATTTATTTTTATTTCATATAAACTATACATTTATTAAGAAAAGACTTCAAATGTGACTATTCAAGGAGAGAAAAAAACTATTGTAATAGTTGGTCGCAATAGACTATCGCTATCGCAAAAGAATGTTGCAATAGACTTTCGCTATCACAATAGTTGTTTTCCCATCAATAGTCACCCCTATAGACAAGTACTTGGTGCCATACCGAACAGTGAAGACAAATAGCCAGATGAATACAATAGCCGGGTGTGATAAACTACAGACAAGTACACAGCAGTGGAGACGGTTGGTTGTTGTTTTACGCCGCACTCAGCAATATTCCTGCTATATGGCGGCGGTCTGTAAATAATCAAGTCAGGACCAGAGAATCCAGTCATCAACAGCATAATCATCAATCTACGCAATTGGGATACGATGACGTGTCAACCAAGTCAGGGAGCCTGACCACCCGATCCCGTCAGTCCCCTCTTACGACAATCATGGATTACTGAAGACCAATCCTAACCCGGATCTTCACGGGTTGTGAAGACAGTCGGCACTTGGACGGGTTATGATACATAAAACTAAAGACACTAGCCGGATGAACGACGGTAAACACCACAGGAGGTTGTCATAAAAACATAAACAACAGTGAATACAATTGGACTTTGGATGGGTTGCATACACAACACTGAAAACATTAGGCCAATAGACGTGACATTAAAGACAATAAACCGGTGTGGTAAACAACGGTAAACACAAGTAATGGATGTGGTGCGCAACACAGAAAACAATAGGCCAATGGACGGGTTGTTTTACATGACATTAAGGACAATAGTCGGACGTTATACTGACTGACTGAGTTTGGTTTTACGCCGCTTTTAGCAATATTCCAGCAACATCACGGCGGGGGACACCAGAAATGGGCTTCACGCATTGTGACCATGTGGGGATCCGAACCCGGGTCTTCGGCGTGACGAGCCAACGCTTTAACCATTAGGCTACCCCACCGCCCCTCGGACGTTATAAACAACAGTGAAGACAAGTGATGGGTTGCATACACAACACTGAAAACAGTAGGCCAATAGACGTGACATTAAAGACAATAGACCGGTGTGGTAAACAACGGTAAACACAAGTAATGGATGTGGTGCGCAACACAGAAAACAGTAGGCCAGTGGACGGGTTGTTTTTCATGACATTAAGGACAATAGTCGGACGTTATAAACAACAGTCAAGACAAGTAATGGGTGTGATCATGGTGACCATACTTTTTGGTATTGTTGATGTTCACGTTTTCGTGTATTCCCTTCAGATTGCAAGTAATTGTGAACAAATTTAGATTTTTTATTAATCACATTAAAATTTGTTACAGCTAGCAAGTTAACACGCAAAAAGTGGTTGTCGAAGCATATTCAACAACGTGTAGTGTTTTTTTCGTACTTATCATATAGAAAAGGGGGTGGTTATAAAGGTAGTATAAAAAAATAGCATTCCTATCAAAAGGTGTATAGTATATCTGGCTTGATACAGTGAAAGCCTGGGTCCCGGTCAACAAAGCATTCGTAATGTTACGAGCTGTCGTAATGCAACAGTTTACCATAGACGTACGAATGTTGTAGCTCTACGAACGCTTTGTGGATCGGGACCCTAATTATGACTCATATTTCAACCATCAAGCAGTATGTTTAAAAAAAATTAAATCGTCATCTGTTGTAATATGTTTACAAATAATCGATCCGTGAAGATCCGTTGGAATTAATTTTCAGCAAAACATGCTTGTAAACGACTGGTTAGGGTCTCTGACGTTAATGCACATAGATTGGTGCTCACGATGTTAATCACTCGTTTTTCTGGTGCAGACTCGACTATTTACAAACTACCGTCAATGGCGTCATATAGCTTGAATGGTGCTGATGGTGACAACTTGGACAAACATGGAAAATCATCCCTCCGAAAGGGTGTTCTGTGGCCTGATGGAATGCTGTTGGACGTGTATTGTACGTGCGCTTCTCTTACTTTATTCTCATTTAGATTGACTGACTGAGTTTAGTTTTACGCCGCTTTTAGCAATATTCCTGCAATATCACGGCGGGGGACACCAGAAATGGGCTTCACACATTGTGCCTATGTGGGGAATCGAATCCGAGTCTTCGGCGTGACGAGCCAACGCTTTAACCATTCGGCTACCCCACCACCCCTTCTCATTTAGAACTCTCGAATAATTGGAACATTTCATTGAAAATACTATCTATCTTTATGAACTTTTTACTGTTCTTGACCATTTATCTTCCGCAGGGAATGTATATGTTTTTCACACTTTCATAAGACACTACATCGACCCAATACAAAGTGGACGTGTGTGGATTTACGGCGACGATGATGTTTGTGCCCACTGAAAATTATTTTGGTGGTGGTGGAGGTGGTGGTATCGTCGTAGGGGAGTTGGAACAGGATTAGGGTTTATTTGCGCCCAACACATTACCTGTTGTTGAACTATTATCTATAAAGTAGACATACTGCACCAAAAGATTATTTTTACAATCATAAATAAAATTACTGGTGATTATCAAGAATTGTCTCCCCTGCACCATTGAGTACATTTTGCTGGATACGTCCCAGGTGAGCGTTCCTGTGGAGCACTACACCAGGGATTTGCTGTAGTTGGTTATATGATGCTGAAATTGACAGTATATTACAACTAGTGGACGATGTGTAGCAATAACGGCTACGTGTATATAATTATGTCCAAATTAACTGTCGCAGTTATGAAGACAAGCCCAAAGACGCCTCACTATATATGTATGGAATCGTGTCGTTCACATTAATCCTTTAAAATGAATCATTTCGTCATGTCAAAACGACGAAAAGTTAATATTTTCTTTCATTTATAAAAAAACAACAACCGAAAATTCAAGCAGAGATGAAAAAGTTATGGCCTTTAAAGTTTTCCTAAACTTAATGACAATAATCCACCGATTTAAAGAAATCCACCAACGTAAGCGAAGTGAAAAAACAGCTGAGCCGAATATCACATTAAGTATGCAGGAGTTACCTCCCCTATATTGTAAACCGTCAATGAACGTTTCTCAAAGGTTTATTTCGAGAAATCTGTTTCGTGGCTTGATTAAAGTTGGTGGTAATGTGCTTAAAAAACCTTCCTATATTGCACTGGATTTGTTATTAGCATGTTGCTACATGCTGATCCTTTAAGAAGTTATGTCTACGCTTGTGAAATTATGGCGGATATTTTCAATCACTTTGAACAGAATTATAAGCTTGAATGTGATGTTTGGATCATTTATTCAATTTACTGGGTAATTAAGTTGATAAAAATATACTACGTTGTTATTTTTCTATATTGGGTTTTAAAATATTGTATTTTTTCACCAGTGATGATAATATTTTTTTAACAGTGGTAACTCCTGTGATTCGTCGAGCCTTGTCACATTGGCTGAAGAGTTTAGCTGTCTCCATGCCGCCATATGCTGTGTTATCGTCAGTGGTTCTGCACTCTGAGCAACGTGGCGCCAACCTCGCAACAGTCTCAAAACCTCATTTCTATCACTTATATAGGCCTCCTCAATCTGGATTTATTGTATTTATTTAATTT